TGGTTTGTTTGTGTGTCTGTGCCGGTTGGGAAAACAAATAAAGATTGGGGTCTAGGTAGTGTTATTCTGACCTATAGTAATCAGAGTTTGAGCTAATGATTTACATCATTCTTTTCTTTTATATAAAAGGGCATGAAACTATTCATGCGTGATGTAGTACGAGTACAGGTAGCAAATGAGTGGGTTGGGTTGGTTACATATTAGATTAAATTGAGTCGAGTCAAAATAAATCCAATTCACTTCAACCAACGTATTAAATTGGTTATACTGGGTTGAATTTATAACGTGTTGGATTAAATCCATTGACCTATAAAATAATTAAAACTTGTAATAGACACACTATTACACTAAAATATACACACACTATTACACCAAAATATACACACACCCACACAAACTAATTTTATTACTTTTGTTATTTAATTGATAGATAAACAATCAACCCAATGGATAGCCATTTGTTATCCAACTTAATCCGTTTAATTAAAATAAGTATTATTATCCAACTCATTTAGAACTTGCATAAATTAATATAGGTATTCAACTCATTTATTCATGGGAGGATTAGACAGGTTAATGGGTAATAGGTTAAGATTGCCACTTCTGAGCACGAGCAATATGGGAGGTTGGAGGTGGAGGAGGCACTATATGGAGAGAGACCGTCTCTGTCTCTCTCTTTTTCTTATAATTTTATATATCATTAATTTAATGTTCACTAATATTGGATGTTATTTTTCATTTTTAAAACACAGTTTCTNTGAGAGAGACAGTCTCTGTCTCTCTCTCTTTCTTATAATTTTATATATCCTTAATTTAATGTTCACTAATATTGGATGTTATTTTTCATTTTTAAAACACAGTTTCTATTTGTTTGAAGAAAACTCTGCACATATCACAAACAAATGCCTCTATATAATGAAAATAGAGTTGTCAATATAGCTAATTGCTATTTCCATCTCTGATGAACAATCATTTTGTGTAATTGTCAGCTTTCATACCTTTGGCAATAATTACCAGCTAGATGTTTAGATACCTGNTTGTCAATATAGCTAATTGCTATTTCCATCTCTGATGAACAATCATTTTGTATAATTGTCAGCTTTCATACCTTTGGCAATAATTACCAGCTAGATGTTTAGATACCTGAAAGTTGTTTCAAACCGGATGATTCTCTTATGGAAGAGTATTTAGTTGAAAGTAATGGCTCAAGGCCTATACTTCTTTCTAAATTATGTTCTAAAGAGAGCATGCATCTATTTTTTTGTACATTTTGTTATAGTAGTTCAAGCCTAACGTAGTTGTTAAAGGCTTTGCCTTATATGTACTTCTTATGGTTCTAATTAATATAAATGCTTAACTTCCGGAAAGAAAAAAAACATTTTGTATAATTCTTAAGGCTAGCGAAAAGAAGTTCTTAAATAGTTTTGTGAAATTTTTGTTATTTCATGAATTTTTATGATTAACTACACCTCTTGCAATATATTCGCTTTTTCGCCTTATGTTTCCTTATATCATAGTATGGACAATGCACTATGTTTCTTTATATCATAGTATGGACCAAGCATTCGGATCATATCCCTTAAATATATTATATATCAAGTTTTTTATCATTCAATAAACTAACACATGTCATCCAAAATAACACCTAAACAAATATATGCAACACGAAAAAAAATCAATATCCTACCACAGTTGTTGTGGTTTGTTTTGATCCACTTCCTTTTGTAAGAGTTTTATTTCAAGATATATTGTTTCCATGTAGTTATTTCTCATTTTAACTATGATAAATTTTCATTTCTTTTGGACAAAATATTACAGGCATGAATCAAAGTTTATCCAAAAAATTGTTGAGGAAGTTTTATACAAAGTGAGCCACACATATCTAAACGTCTCCACGCATCCGATTGGATTAGATTCTCGTGTTAAAGACATAAGGTTGTTACTAACCAATGGATCAAGTGACATCCAAATGATTGGAATCTTTGGCATGACAGGAATTGGCAAGACGACAATTGCCAAAGCAGTCTATAATCAAGTTTTTCAGCAATTTGAAGGTTCTTGTTTTCTGGGGAATGTGAGTGAAATTTCAAAACAACTCAATGGTCTAGTTCATTTACAAGAGCAACTTCTTTTTGAAATTTTTATGAAAAAAGGTCCTAGTATTGGCAACATTGATAGGGGAATTAGCTGGATTAAAAAAAGACTTCGTTCTAAAAGAATACTTATTGTTCTTGATGATGTTGATCATATTAGCCAATTAAATTCATTAGCAGGGAGTCGTGATTGGTTTGGGTTAGGTAGTAGAATTATTATCACAACTAGAGATGAGCATTTGCTAAATAAAGTTCAAGTAGATGTGAAATATGAAGCGAAGGAATTGAACTACAACGAATCTCTACAACTTTTCAGTTGGCATGCCTTCAGACAAGCCATACCATTAGAAGATTATTTGGAGCTTTCAAATGGCATAATAAACTATGCCCAAGGGCTTCCGTTAGCTCTTGAAATATTGGGATCTTATATGTTTGGAAGAACCATACCAGAATGGATAAGTGCATTTGAGAAATTAAAACACATTCCTCACAATGAAATTCAGAAAAAACTCCGAATAAGCTTCGATGCACTAGAGGATGATCAAGTAAAGGACATATTCCTTGACATTGCTTGCTTTTTCGTCGGAATGGATAAAGATTATATCATATATATATTGAATGGTTGTGGTTTTTCCTCGGAAATTGGAATCAGTGTCCTAATAAGTAGATGTTTGCTAAAAATTAATGAAAAAAATCAATTGAGCATGCATGATTTGCTACGAGAGATGGGGCGAAAAATTATTTGTGAAGAATCACCGAAAGAGCTTGGAAAGCGTAGCAGATTGTGGTTTCATGAAGACGTATGTGACGTGCTACAAACAAACAAGGTAATAAAAAACTACTTTCTTTCAATTGGAAAACTTTACTCTTGCTTAGTGCATATATTTTATTTTTGTTTCTATATGTGTGTGTGTGTGTATATACTCATATAGTTTGCGACATACACAACATGCTTTGTGTGTGTGGTTGATGCCTATATCTAGTTAGTTACTTATAAAAACCCATTTCCTTTATGAAATTTAGGGCACAAATGAAATTGAAGGTATTGTTTTGGATTTGCCACTCTTAAAGGATGTAGATTTTAGGACTGAATCATTTGCAAGGATGCAGAAATTAAGACTACTTCGGATCAACAATGTGCGTCTCACCGGAAACTTTGAATATCTATCTGGAGAGTTAAGATGGCTTTGTTGGCATTATTGTCCTCTGAAGAATTTACCTTCCAATTTTCAACTCAAAAAACTTGTTGTTTTAGACATGCAACATAGCAACATCAAACAACTTTGGCTAGATAGCAAGGTAAAAAAAATTTTATACCCTTGATTATCTTTAAATAAATGGAAACCCTTATCTTGACATTTTTTTCTTTGATTTATCAGTTGGTGCAAAATCTAAGAGTCCTAAATCTTAGTCATTGTAAATTCCTGACAAGAACCCCAAACTTCACTGGGTTACCAAGGATGGAGATATTGTTGNCAGATAGCAAGGTAAAAAAAATTTTATACCCTTGATTATCTTTAAACAAATGGAAACCCTTATCTTGACATTTTTTTCTTTGATTTATCAGTTGGTGCAAAATCTAAGAGTCCTAAATCTTAGTCATTGTAAATTCCTGACAAGAACCCCAAACTTCACTGGGTTACCAAGGATGGAGATATTGTTGCTTGAAAGTTGTTTATCTTTGTTGGAGATTCACCATTCAATTGGAGTTTTGGATAGACTTACTTCCTTGAGTTTAAAAGATTGCGGGAACCTTACAAATCTTCCAAGCAACATTTGCAATCTAACATCACTTAAACATCTGAATCTTACTAACTGCTCAAATCTGNTTGGATAGACTTACTTCCTTGAGTTTAAAAGATTGCGGGAACCTTACAAATCTTCCAAGCAACATTTGCAATCTAACATCACTTAAACATCTGAATCTTACTAACTGCTCAAATCTGAAAGAATTGCCCGAGCACTTGGGGAATATGCACTGTCTGAGGGAACTTCATGCTGATGGAACTACTATCAAACAGTTACCATTTTCTTGTAGGTTTTTGAAGAACCTTACCATCTTATCTTTGGGAAGATGTAATAGCAACTTACCATCCAAATCTTGGCTCCCGCTTATTATGTCTTGGGTATCACCAAGAAGACATCATGATTCCCCCAGATTTCTCCNATCCAAATCTTGGCTCCCGCTTATTATGTCTTGGGTATCACCAAGAAGACATCATGATTCCCCCAGATTTCTCCCACCTTTTATTTCGGGTTTATGTTCCTTAAGAACACTAATTCTCAGGCACTGTAATTTGAATGAAGCGTCTATTCCCACTGATATCGGAAGTTTATCTTCACTTCGACATCTAGATTTGGGGAGCAATGATTTTCATAGCCTACCATCCAGCCTTTGTCACCTATTCAAACTAGATAGCCTCTGGTTAGAAGACTGCAAGAATCTTCGATCAATCGATGAACTTCCTCCTAATCTAGGGATACTACAGGCAGATGCTTGCACATCACTAGAAAAACTACCGAATCTGTCAAAGTACCAAAGATTGGAACACTTGTTTCTTGCCAATTGCAATAGACTGGCGGATATTCAAGATGTAAGGAACCTTGATTCTATGAGATCCACTCATCGGGAACTGTCTAGCATTTTGAACAATGCTATCAAGGATAGTTTGCTCAAGGTCTCTTCTCTCTCTCTCTCTCTCTNTGAGATCCACTCATCGGGAACTGTCTAGCATTTTGAACAATGCTATCAAGGATAGTTTGCTCAAGGTCTCTTCTCTCTCTCTCTCTCTCTTTCTCTCTCTCCCCCTCTCTCCCTCTCTCTCATCCATCATCATTTTCATGTAACAGGTACCTTGTAATGATAATATTTACAGCGTCTTCATTCCAACTGGGGAGATTCCCGAGTGGCATATCCATCAAAGAATGGGTTCTTCAATATCTTTCGATATGCCATTTCATGTGGAGAACAGGTTAATAGCATTAACTATTTGGGCTGTTTGTGTTGCCAAAGAAGAAGGTGTAGTAACCACTGCTCCTTTTTATGTTCTATATGACAAAACCAATGGTGTCGAACAGATTCTTAGGTCTACAATCTGTAGCAATATTCCAATAACCCAGACAGAGCATTCGTGGTGGAGCTTTATACCAGCATTTGAATTTTTCCAAATAAAAGGTGGAGAAAGAATGGAGCTCTCTATCAAAATTAGTCCATCCGTAGAAGTGAAGAAGTGTGCTATTCATTTTCTGTATAAACCAGATATTCGAGAAAGTCAGCAGGGACAGTTATCATGTGCCAATACAATTGTACAGGATAATGTACATCCAAAGAGAAGTCGCGATGTTGATATAAAGGAAACGGGCAACAACTTGGAAGAGAAAGATGGTAAAAGGTTGAGGATTGAGCCAGATTCAACTTGAATTTGAACACAAAGTACTGTTACTTGAATTGTGTTTAAGTTGATGTATGTATCTTAATTTGTATGTTGGTAATTATCAATAATGCCATGCTATTTGTTTTACTTAGTTTTTGGTGGTTTAAATGATTATTGCAAAATTTTCATTTAACGGCCATTTATCAAAAGGTTACAACACATCTGCATTTTTTTTAGTAAGTAAACAACACTACAAGAAAAAGTGAGTTTTTGAGTCGGATTTTTTTCTCTTCTTCTCTTTTTATTTTTTTTGGCTTCAGTATAATCTGTCAAAGCAAAAAACATCAATATTTGCATCGGCAAGAGGCCCAAAGCAAAAAAGACGAAATTTTTTTTTCAGTATTGAGCCAAAACAAAAACTTTAGTTCAATACGGAGTCGCTTTGATGTATTTAAGTCTAAAACAATGTCATTTTATTTGGTACATAGAAAATAAGTGTGGGAAATCAGTTACATCAAAACGACGTAGTTTTATGTTAATTGTCACAAAATAGCGTTCCTTGGAACCCTAAAAAACCAACCTTCCCATTAAAATGTCGTTGTTTTAGGTGCACTACAGCCAAATGGTGGGTTAATGTAAAAATTAACTTAGACGCTTTTGCATTTAGACAAATTTGCAATTAGTTTTGCTTAATAAACATCAAACTAATAAGACATCTACCAATTTGAAACTTCTATAAATATATTTAGTCCCCCAATTCTATAACATCCAATGTTTTAAAACCCAATTTGGTCTGGCGGGTTTACTTGGTGACCCATTGTCTAAACCAGGCCGGCTCACCTATTGGATCATTTATGCACCAAAACCAGAGTAAACCTAGTAAACTGGAAAAAACCCTGTAAAATTGTCCAATCGGATGAGTTCACTCAAATCGACTAGGTGTTTTAATTTACTATAAAAACTGAATTTTGGGCACTTTTGGGCATTTTGCCTTGCCCTAAATTGTTTCCCCTAGCCCCCTCTTCTTCGCGATTGTGCACCACTCGACAACTAGACGATGAGAGCTTCAACCAGTGTGAGTCTCGCTCTGTCTGACTCTCAGTCTCTCTCTAGTCTTTACAGTGGTGTGCACCACAAGTTCAAAAGGGATTTAGGCCAACCAGTAAGGGACTCGATCGAAGACTCAAAGGGGGAGAAAACTGAGATCTAAATTTCAGCTCTAGACTGGTTTTTCATATTTCTTCTCGTGCAACCAAGTAGAAGAAGTAACCATGTATTGAACCTTAATTTATTTTTAATCAAAATTGTTGAAAGTTACAATATTGAGAACTTTTTCGTTAATAAATCCAGGCAAGGACTTTTTAAGTCATTAAATCCAGCTCAACTCATCTTTTTTGTCATGTAGTTCAAACTAATCTTAATCTTGTTTTTTATATTAAAATATTACCCTTGCTCTATAAACTTCACAAAATTCCAACAAACATTCAACGATACAAAGTCAAATCAATAAGATCATCCAAAATCCCACATATCAAACAATTGATTTAGAAAGTGGAGAACATAGATGCACAGACATTCAAGGTTACATATTGTGATGTAGAATGTTTGTTTGAATTTTGTGAAATTTATAGAGCAAAGGTAATATTTTAATATAAAAAAAAAAGATAACATCCCAAATCCCACATAAAAAACAATTGATTTAGCAAATATCTATTAAAAAATGATGAACTCAATAACAGTGAACTAAAAGACACTCTTTACCTCTATCTTTCTGTGAATGTATGTCATCATTTTTTAGTTCACTGTGGTTGTGTTCACTGCCCTGAGTGTGCCTTCAAGCCACCTCCCAAATCCACCACCTCCCTCTATTTTTCACCCCCAATGAAGTTTTACTCTTTTAAAATTCACTATTTTTTAAAATTTGTTGAACTAGAAGTTTTATTTTATTAAAGTNTGGGGAGATTCCCGAGTGGCATATCCATCAAAGAATGGGTTCTTCAATATCTTTCGATATGCCATTTCATGTGGAGAACAGGTTAATAGCATTGACTATTTGGGCTGTTTGTGTTGCCAAAGAAGAAGGTGTAGTAACCACTGCTCCTTTTTATGTTCTATATGACAAAACCAATGGTGTCGAACAGATTCTTAGGTCTACAATCTGTAGCAATATTCCAATAACCCAGACAGAGCATTCGTGGTGGAGCTTTATACCAGCATTTGAATTTTTCCAAATAAAAGGTGGAGAAAGAATGGAGCTCTCTATCAAAATTAGTCCATCCGTAGAAGTGAAGAAGTGTGCTATTCATTTTCTGTATAAACCAGATATTCGAGAAAGTCAGCAGGGACAGTTATCATGTGCCAATACAATTGTACAGGATAATGTACATCCAAAGAGAAGTCGCGATGTTGATATAAAGGAAACGGGCAACAACTTGGAAGAGAAAGATGGTAAAAGGTTGAGGATTGAGCCAGATTCAACTCGAATTTGAACACAAAGTACTGTTACTTGAATTGTGTTTAAGTTGATGTATGTATCTTAATTTGTATGTTGGTAATTATCAATAATGCCATGCTATTTGTTTTACTTAGTTTTTGGTGGTTTAAATGATTATTGCAAAATTTTCATTTAACGGCCATTTATCAAAAGGTTACAACACATCTGCATTTTTTTTAGTAAGTAAACAACACTACAAGAAAAAGTGAGTTTTTGAGTCGGATTTTTTTCTCTTCTTCTCTTTTTATTTTTTTTGGCTTCAGTATAATCTGTCAAAGCAAAAAACATCAATATTTGCATCGGCAAGAGGCCCAAAGCAAAAAAGACGAAATTTTTTTTTCAGTATTGAGCCAAAACAAAAACTTTAGTTCAATACGGAGTCGCTTTGATGTATTTAAGTCTAAAACAATGTCATTTTATTTGGTACATAGAAAATAAGTGTGGGAAATCAGTTACATCAAAACGACGTAGTTTTATGTTAATTGTCACAAAATAGCGTTCCTTGGAACCCTAAAAAACCAACCTTCCCATTAAAATGTCGTTGTTTTAGGTGCACTACAGCCAAATGGTGGGTTAATGTAAAAATTAACTTAGACGCTTTTGCATTTAGACAAATTTGCAATTAGTTTTGCTTAATAAACATCAAACTAATAAGACATCTACCAATTTGAAACTTCTATAAATATATTTAGTCCCCCAATTCTATAACATCCAATGTTTTAAAACCCAATTTGGTCTGGCGGGTTTACTTGGTGACCCATTGTCTAAACCAGGCCGGCTCACCTATTGGATCATTTATGCACCAAAACCAGAGTAAACCTAGTAAACTGGAAAAAACCCTGTAAAATTGTCCAATCGGATGAGTTCACTCAAATCGACTAGGTGTTTTAATTTACTATAAAAACTGAATTTTGGGCACTTTTGGGCATTTTGCCTTGCCCTAAATTGTTTCCCCTAGCCCCCTCTTCTTCGCGATTGTGCACCACTCGACAACTAGACGATGAGAGCTTCAACCAGTGTGAGTCTCGCTCTGTCTGACTCTCAGTCTCTCTCTGGTCTTTACAGTGATGTGCACCACAAGTACAAAAGGGATTTAGGCCAACCAGTAAGGGACTCGATCGAAGACTCAAAGGGGGAGAAAACTGAGATCTAAATTTCAGCTCTAGACTGGTTTTTCATATTTCTTCTCGTGCAACCAAGTAGAAGAAGTAACCATGTATTGAACCTTAATTTATTTTTAATCAAAATTGTTGAAAGTTACAATATTGAGAACTTTTTCGTTAATAAATCCAGGCAAGGACTTTTTAAGTCAGTAAATCCAGCTCAACTCATCTTTTTTGTCATGTAGTTCAAACTAATCTTAATCTTATTTTTTATATTAAAATATTACCCTTGCTCTATAAACTCCACAAAATTCCAACAAACATTCAACGATACAAAGTCAAATCAATAAGATCATCCAAAATCCCACATATCAAACAATTGATTTAGAAAGTGGAGAACATAGATGCACAGACATTCAAGGTTACATATTGTGATGTAGAATGTTTGTTTGAATTTTGTGAAATTTATAGAGCAAAGGTAATATTTTAATATAAAAAAAAAGATAACATCCCAAATCCCACATAAAAAACAATTGATTTAGCAAATATCTATTAAAAAATGATGAACTCAATAACAGTGAACTAAAAGACACTCTTTACCTCTATCTTTCTGTGAATGTATGTCATCGTTTTTTAGTTCACTGTGGTTGTGTTCACTGCCTGAGTGTGCCTTCAAGCCACCTCCCAAGTCCACCACCTCCCTCTATTTTTCACCCCCAATGAAGTTTTACTCTATTAAAATTCACTATTTTTTAAAATTTGTTGAACTAGAAGTTTTATTTTATTAAAGTTCATTGTTTTTGTAGTTCTCTTTTTATGTTATTTTCAATATATAGTAGTGGTGGTAGTGGATGGTGGTGGGTTGTGGGGGTGGTATGTGATGGTGATAATGGTGGTGGTTGGCAGCGATGGTGGCAGTGGGTGGTGGTGGTGGCAATCGATGATGATGGTGGCAAATGGTGGGTTTTGGGTGGTGATTATTGGTGGCAGTAGTGGTGGTGGTGTTAGTGGATGGTGGTGGTGGTGGTGGTGGTGGTAATGGTTGTGGAGGGCGACGATGGAAGGGGCGTTAATCGAGATGAACTATTTGGGCTCAGTTCAAGCTTAACTTGTGTTTTAAATGAGCTGAGTTTAAATAATTTTTTAATCTCGTTTAGACAATAAACCTAAAAAAGCTCAGCTTGAGCTTGCAAAGCTAGACCTATTTATATATAAAATAGTCAAGCAACTCGGGCTCGGCTTAGTTTTCGAACAAGCCAAGCTTGAAAATTTTTTTAGGCTTGCTTAAAAAAAGGAGCTCAACAGGCTCAGGCTCAATCTCGCAAAGTTTGACTTAATTAACACCCCTAGGTGATGGTGGTGGTGGGTGTGTGAGGCGGCGACGTTGGTGGTGGTGGGCAGTGTGGGTAGATGGCGGCGATGATGGGTGGTGGTGCTGGTGGGCTTTGGGTGATGATTGTTGTCAGTGATGGTGGTTGTGAGTGGGGGTGGGGGAGGTGATGGTGGGCACAATGGTGACCGCAAATTTGGGGTTG